CTGGATGTGTCAGAATCTCAACGCCGTCCAGCTCTTCAAACTTGTCTTTGGTCTTCCTGGTGGTGTGCGGCTTGGCATTGTCCTGCTGCATCAAAGCGCTTTTCGGTTGATCAGAGCCGGGTACTTTTGCTTCAACTTTTTGTAGACCCGCCCAGTTGCTGACAGTAAAAGTTCGCACTGATGGCACGACCATTCGGTACCAACTCAAATGCACGATTCCTTCAAAGTTCCACCAAACGCACAACATGACTTTCTTGCTTAATCGATCTTGTTTTGGAACCGACGGTGTCTCTTGCCCTTTCTGAACCCATCGCTTGTCTCGATTGTGCTGGATTGTGTTGCATAAAAATTTCAATTTTTCGCAAGTGTTTACAAACTTTTGGGACAACCTAATATTACCTGGATTAATATAGAAGTTTAATAGTCATCGTTAGTCAGAATTTAAATCCCGAACTTAATGTTAGATTCGTCTTACTACCCCATCACATTCAAACACCTGGTTTCATATGCTCACTGAAGTTAAGCAATGTCAGTACCTAAATAGATGACTGCTTGGGAATTCCACATGCTGTAAGCTTGGATGTGCAGGTGGTGTAATGGATAATGGCTCAACATTGTTAATAGCAGAGCTGAATTCCAACTCATATTTGTTATATTCACTTCCATGCAAATACTTTTGGGAAAGGGATGAATCCACCTCTTCTCCCCCAAGCTATGGGTTAATTAGTAAGATTTGTATCACTAAAACTATCATTATTATTACTGGCCAACATAATTACAATTTGTAACCTAATGCTAATGGTAGACTTAGTGTAATGGTCCCTGTTAGCCACATACCAAAAGTAACATTGTCGCATGGTTTTTATGTTTTTTAAGCCCATCTCAGGTGCTGAAAAAAAAAAATTTGGTTCACTTTTAAAAATTAGTAAAAAAAAAAAAAGAAAAATCTTTTGGAAACAACTTTAGTACATTAGTGTTCTGTAGATGTTCCTATGACTTAATTAGTAAGAGTTGTGTCACTAAAACTATTATTATCTTAAAAGAAAATAAAAGTATTCTTAAAATCTAAAAATATTTTCTGGCTTTAAATAAACTGCAAAGGTTTGATATCAAATCAATCAGTGTTAGTGTTATGGGACCTTACACATAATAACATAGTGGACTATTCCACACATAATAAATACTGCACCTCAAGAGGAAGCAGGGAGTTCAGTCTGAAGTCTAGAGTTCAGTCTCAAGTCTGGAGTGAAGTCAGTCAGTCGAGTCAGAGGCAGTCCGAAACAGAGTCATGTTCAGACAATTACTACTAAACCTGATTGTTCGTACTAACACTTTTCTACTTCTCTGTATATATTCCTGTTTGTAATATATCTGTGTTATTCCATATCCGTGTTCGAGTTTCTTCTTTATTGGTTCTACCTTGGACTATCACCGTGGTACAAGGAACTGGACTATAACAGTTAGATTTGAGTGAGGTATTGGATGTGTAAATAGTGTAATGGTTAACGACTTGGAACAAGAAATCTGTTTGAATTCTGGTCGAGCTTGTCACACTCATTTTCACACAAATGCTCTTTGGGAAAGGCATGAACCCATCCCATATCTATGAGCTGCAGTTGTTGAAAAATGAAGATGCTTATTGTTAAGGATTGAACTCACCATTCTTGAATAACAAATGTCTGAAGATATTAGACTCCCATTCCTCTGCTTAATGGATATGTTCTAAGCAGTAGCAGGCTTGTCTTCCCTTCCTGCCAAAGTGGGTGTAATCTTTAGGCATTTATTTAAGTTTATTGAATGAATGAATTGAGTGATTTTTTTTTTATTGTTTGGTGAAGTGCTTTCACTCAGTTTATTGATCAAGATTTTTAATGAATATAATAATGTAACTTAGATTTGTTTTATATTTTTTCTGCTAAAATCTAATTATTTTCCGAATATGCAAATATATATTATTTTCATGGATATGTTCTAAGCAGTAGCAGTAGCAGGCTTGTCTCCCTTCCTGCCAAAGTGGGTGTAATCTTTAGGCATTTATTTAAGTTTATTGAAATTTCTCCTCAGAGTGAATTTTTTTTATTTTTTGGTGAATTTTTTTTATTTTTTGGTTTATTGATCAAGATGTTTTAATGAATATAATAATGTAACTTAGATTTGTTTTTATATATTTTCTGCTAAAATCTAATTATTTTCCGAATACCCAAATATATATTATTTTCATTCTACGATCTTCAAGGGACAAGTGTGCCAAAGAGAGGTGTTTAGGTGTTAGTCAAATCCCAGTAAGCCAATGATAAGAAGGCAGGGTGATTTTTTTTTTTTTTTTGAGAATGTTTTCTTTTACAAAGTGAGTTTTATATGGTTGGAAATATAAAAACTACTATATGATAAGATTTCCCAAAGAAAGTTTTTTTTTTTTTTTTTTTTTTTATGAAAAAGTGAAAAAAAAAAAAAAAAGAAGTTTCTGCATTTTAATTTATTTTTATCTGTGGTACAAAACAACCAAATTTTTTAAAATAAAAATTTTCTAATTTCATAACAATATTTGTAAATTATTTACATTATTCAAACTATTGTCCTCATCTTTGTCACCATATTTATCACATGTGTCCTTAAGGACACATGCCACAGTGGATAAAGGCGTTGGTTAGATCCAGTGACAGGACCTAAAGGGTGTGAGTTCAATACCCGGTTAAGGCAGTGGAGATCTTTCAGAGGGAAATTAACAAGAGATAACTGATAACTGACATCCATCAAAACATGGCACATGGAACTATAACAGTCTACCCCAGTGAGCGAAATAAAGGGTTCAGTTCGACATTCCAACCACCTGAAGAAGGCCGGAGCATACAACGGCTGAAACGTTGTGATAAATATGGCGACAAAGATGAGGACAATGTAAATAATGTACATAATACCTCATCCCAGAAATATAGACAGACTCTGAATATTTGTCAAATTTTACAGAAAAAATAATTCATATTTTCATTTCATGCATCTGTAAAATAGAAAAGAAACAAAAAACTTGTCTTTAGCTTTATAAAATTGAGGAGTTATGACCTCAACATTCAACACTTCCAAATTGCGTATCTGTTACACAAGCGGAAGTTTTTGCTAGCTGTATGTACTGCCAAGATCAGGCAAGGGCAACCTTTTTCAAGCAGTGGGCCACTCAATCTATGGCTCATCATATCGTGGGATCCACTACTAAAAAGATTCAAGGTAATTTTTCATAGTATGTACCTCAGCTATTTTCGCTGCAAAAGACCATGTACATAAGCATTAAGGTTATGACCCTGTTTTTGTCATAAATCAAGGAATTTTTGTTCAAAAGTAATGAAAAAGGCATTAATTTGTTTCAGTTCTTGAAAAAGGTCACACTTCCCACCACCAAAACCTAAAATTTGATTTTATCGCAATAAAGGTAAAAAATCAAAATATTTCAGAAGGTTTATTTTTAAATTTATCTAATGATGTAATTAGATAGTACTTATATATTTTTAATGCATTTAACAGTTTATAGTTATAGCTTAATTTTAATTTACAAATAAAAAAAAAAAAAAAAAAGTTCAAGAAGGTTCCAGAAAGTCATAGTACTGCTATATTTATATACGATATTAGAAATTTCATGTTGGGGGTGACATTTTAAAAAAAAAGATAAACTGAATTAAACCTTCATTATTTTTTTAACAAAAGTTCATTGAATTATGAGAGAGAAAATTAATTATTTTACTAAAATCATAACCTTAGAAATGAAAAAAAATTTTTTTTTTTTTTTTGTGAAAAAATTTTTCTATAATTAAAAAATTGAAGTTTTGGTATATTAACACAAATGACAGTGTGATTAATATGTCACTGCAAGTGATTTATTTCTAATTTAATTATTTGAGAAGAAAGAAAACAATATATTTCTTCTCCATAGAAAAAAAAATTGCTATGTTTCCTGTGCGAAAAGCAAAATATGTTTGCATGTATGATCTTCCTTTGTGAAAATTCACAATGGTTTAAAATGACAGAAGCATTGTTTTCACTGAAAGTTTACAAAATTTAAGAAACATTGTACTTAATGATTGTTTACGTATATGATCATGTATGAGAGAGTGTGTGCATGAACAAGTGAGAACGAAACAAAAGAAAATTTTAAGAAACGTTATTTTCCTTATGCAATTCAGAAAGACCAAATGGACCACAGGTAGCCTGCGGGCCACAGTTTGTCCCTGACTGGTTTAAATTTTAGCGTTCATTGTTTTTGTCTTTATCATTCCTCTTGTCGTCTTCATCTGCAAAAAGTCACAACAAAAGAAGTTATTTTAGTATGTGAAAAAATTTAAAAAAAAAAAAAGTAACATATTTGTAAATTTACAAAAGCCACAATATTTTGTTAATAATGAGGGAAAGTTTCACATTAAACCTTTCCTTTGCCAAAACTTCTAATTTAATTGCCATTTTATTTGCTATATTTTTCATTCGTTCTTCAATGTTTACACTACTTCATCCTTTTTGCTTAAGAGGCAATCATAACGTCGAATGTCATTTGCCCGAAAAACCGTCTTCAGTAAAAACATAAAACCAAATCTTTACTTTGTGGAATGGTTCACGTCACAAAAAAAAAAAGAAAAAATCAATATCTACAAAAAGGGAGATAACTTTATCTGAACAATGTTTTTTTTTTTTTTTTTAATTATGTTTCATTTCAATATTATACTGGTTAATTCATTTGTCGTTGATTTATTTATATACAATAAAGAATCCTATTCCCTCCCCACCAAATTCATTATGGCCACATTATCGTTTGCCTAGTACAAGGCTCAAGAGCCATTCACTGAGTGAGGCATGTAACTAATACAAAAGTAAGAGGTGGTGGTAGGAAGTGATTAACTCTTGACTTGAGATTTGGGAAGCATCTGCAAGGGAGTCTGTTCTACAAACTACCATCAAATCGGATAACTTTGATAGGCTTTCAGCAATTTGCTTACTTTTCTAGCGAATAATTCATGTCTTACGGCCACTTCACATTGAAACACCAGTTTCTGTAAAATCACTAAAGTTAAGCAATGTTTAGTCTGGTCAGTACCTAGATGGGTGACTGCCTGTGAATACCAGGTGCTGTCAGCTTGGATGTGCATGTGGTGTAATCGTTAATGGCTCGGAATTGTTAATCAGAGAGCCGGGTTCCAATTCCTGTTGGGTTTGTTATATTCATCACTTACTTGCAAATACCATCAGGAAAGGTATGAATCCACCTCTTCTCCCCCCAGCTATAGGTTAATTACTACAACTTGTATCACTAAACCATTATTATCTCTAAAGAAAAAAAATTCTTACAATCTAAAAATATTTTCTGGCTTTAAATAGCATGCAAAAGGTTGATAAGACATAAAAAAACAAATCAATCAAAGTTAATATTTTGGTTTTAATCTATGAATATTTAACACTTTCAATTATGTGTTGTTATAGTATTGTTGCCAGGATGTGCTGGTCCGGTCTTGAAAAAAATAGAAAATTGTCAGATGATTCCAGCAGATATAAAAATGTTGAAATCAGTGACACATCATATTGAAACACTGGTTCTCGTACAATCATTGGTTTGGTTTGGTTTCTTTTACGGCAAATCAACCTCAATGGGTTACTTAATGCCGACAAGATTTTTATTGCTGTAATATTTTTTTTTTCAAAAATGTATTGCTGTAATAATTTTTTTTACATATTATTTCTGGTATTAAAACCTATTTTTACACTTTCATAGTGTTTTGACTCCAGTCTGGCGGTTAACTATTTGCCCATAGCTGGGACCCTAACAGGTGTTACCACAACATCAACATTAAATTAGCTCAGTACCTAGATGGGTAACCACTTAGGAATACCAGGTGCTGTAAGCTAGGATGTGTGGGCAGTGTAATGGATAATGGCTCGGAATAGATAATCAGAGAGCAGAACTCTAATTCCAGTTATATTTGCTTAAGAGCAAATCCCCTTGAGAAAGTTGTGAATCCACCTCCGCTATGCTGCTAAATTTTATGAAAAAAAAAAAAAAAAAAGTGACTGAGAGAGAACATCATTGAAACTATCATTCAAAGGGAGCTGGGCCTTTTTGGGCACATCTATTTGGACATCATTGAAACTGTCATCCAACTTAAGCTGGGCCTCTTTGGACATCATTGAAACCTTCATTCAAAGGAAGCTGGGCCTCTTTGGATAAATCTCTTTGGACATCATTGAAACTGTCATTCAAATTAAGGTGGGCCTCTTTGGACATCATTGAAACCTTCATTTAAAGGAAGCTGGGCCTCTTTGGATACATCTATTTGGACATCATTGAAACTATCATCCAAATTAAGCTGGGCCTCTTTGGACATATCTCTTTGGACAAAATTGAAATCATCATTCAAAGAGAGCTGGGCCTTTTTGGGCACATTTTTTTTTACATCATTGAAACCTTCATTTAAAGGAAGCTGGGCCTCTTTGGACATCATTGAAACCTTCATTTAAAGGAAGCCGGGCCTCTTTGGACATATCTCTTTGGACATCATTGAAACCCTCATCCAATGGAAACTGGGCCTCTTTGGACACATCTGCCAGATGGACAACTCAAGTTTAGTGAAGCCAGAAAAACTTGGAATCATGGAATAGCAACAACAGAAGAGGACGGTCAAGAATGCAATTGATAGACAGCATTGCTAACCAGAGTTGCCACCAATACAGAAAACAGGAGAAAAGTTTTGAAAAATGCTGTTGACAAGAACAGGCATTAAAAAAAAATGTTTTTAAAATGACTATAAAGATGCTGGTGACAGTTTCTCATGGGTGCTGCCATATTGGTTTCAATCACATGCTCTACAATACAAACTCATCTAAATCCGGTAAATGTTGTTAATACTGTTTATTATAAACCGAGCATTTACTTAAATATTTGTATCTATAAAATAACGTATAAACAGAAAAAAAAAAATATATATATATATATATATATATATATATATATATATATATAAAATATTGGTAAATATACACATACATATGCAAAATATATAAATATATATATACATACATACACACATACATATATATTTGTATAAAAAAATTCCAAAAGGATAGAATCCATTTAGAACTCAATGTCCAGGACAGAGTAAGGATATAATAAAAAGGCTTAAACACTAATATTAATATTAGTGTTTAAGCCTTTTTATTATATATATATATATATATATATATATAGCAGGCAAATGTAAGTTTAAAGACATAAGTTCTTTCGCAACTGTGGAAATTTTTAAAACTGGGTAAAAAAAGATGATAAAAAATAAATCTCATTTAAATATTTATCCTATCCAAAAACACATGCGTAAATGAATTAACTATTTAAAGAGTCCTCTATAATAATCCCTATATTAATTCAATATATATTTTTTCAATATTGAATAATCCCTATCTTAATCCCTACTACTTTATTTTAATATTTATATTTTAATCGTTTTATTTATATTTTATTTTTGTCTCTTGTGACAAAAGGACAGTTAAGTTCCCATCATCAACTGATTTCAAGATTAAATAATCCTGTTAAATTTAGTAACATTATTACACCTATAAAGATTTCAGTGAGTAATTTAAAAGAAAAAAGAAAAAAAAAACATCATCAGAACTGTTTCGACTTGATTTCACATCTTCAGTGTGGTTGCTCGTTTCCAAGCATGTCCATCCATTCAGACCCGTTTATATTTCTTCAACGCCCATAGAGCCAACCTGTGGTTTATGCTGCAACTATACTAAGCAGACCTTATTGAATGTGTTTGTTTTCTACAGCTTATCAACCCTTTGCAGGCTATTTAAAGCCAGAAAATATATTGTAAGAATTTATTTTCTTGGAGATAATACAAGAGTATTTGCATGTATGCAAATATAACAAAACCAACAAGAACTTAGCTCTCCAATAAACAATTCCAACAATCATTATACCATCTGCACATCTAAGCTTACAGCACCTGGTATTCACAAGTGGTCACTCATCTAGATATTGACAAGGCTCAATATTACTTAACTTTAGTGATTGTATGGGAACCAGTATTTTCAACATTATGTAGTGAGCTTAGAATTCATGTATGTGCATCACTAGAGACTCATACAGTATGGAATTCAAAGTTGTCCCTCTCCTATACTGGTTACCAACCATGGCTAGAGAATCCAGTCTGCTTTACTATTTAACTCATAACTGAGGGCAAAATAGATGGATTCATATTTTTCCGAAAGGTATTTGTGCAGAAATGACTATAACCGTCTTGACTGGGATTTGAACCCAGCTCATCAATTTCTTGTTCGAAGCCTTCAAACATTACACCACCTGCACATCCAATAAGAAACAGTATTAATTATCATAAATCATACTTATTATAAAACCCAGGTTGTGTGTGTGTGTGTGTCTGTTCATTTATATATTAGATCGGATTTCCTACATTTTTCAACCGATTTCAACAAAACTTCACAGGACTACGTAAAATTACCTTGCGGTGGTTCTGACAGCACCCAAAATTGGAAAAACACAATTGTTTTTGCATGAAACCAATTTGAAAACATGATTAAGAGGCATCGCTGTGAGAATGAAAGGGGGACAACTCATATCGAGTTATACTTATTATAAAACCCAGGTTGTTTGTGTGTGTGTGTGTGTGTTCGTTTATATATGGGATCGGATTTCCTACATTTTTCAACTGATTTCAACAAAACTTCACTTTTTTTTGACAGGTAGTGTTTCTTATTGTCTTGCACACTTTTTTTCTTTATTTTTACATTCAGAATGCTTTAAAAATTCCATTTACAAGACAATTGTTTATAATAAAATTCTATTCAATCGATAGACTCATAACGATTGAAAACAATGTTTTTGTTTGAGTTTGACCAATTCGTAAAAAAAAGAAAACAACTAATTAAGACATGCGTGTCCGTCAACCTTATACAATAATCTTTGTCAATTTTATTTTTCAGTCTTTATGATGGTTGATACTTGATCTATCTCTTACTGTTACATCCCCGGGCAACACCGGGCTCTACTGCTAGTAGATAAATAAATTAACTGGTATAATTTTAAAATGACAGAAAAAAGGGAAACATTAATGTGATATAATGTTTTTTTTTTTTTTTTTTGTTAATCACTTCACCCCAAACAAGGTGATAATGCCACTAAGATGTGAAAGGGTTAGTAAGAGTGAAAAAGAATGAAAAGACTTTAGAAGGAACTGGAAAACCTTCTAAACAGTGAATAAGGACTGGGGAAGATTGTGAACCAGATTGCAAACCTGTCTAGTCCTACTGAGGAGAAAAAATAAAAAGTAAATAGTGTTTCAGAGTTTAGGCAAAGATGTTAGAAGTATAGAGTTGAAGTAGACTTTAGAAGGAACCGGAAACCCAATCCTCAACTGGAAACATGGGATAAACCTCTACACCTGCTCTAGCAAGACAAGCTTACTAACCATTTCACCACCTTGAGGTGCCCAACAGAGGATGTATCTTATATGACATGGGTTTTTATAATGCTATTGTCATACCATGTTCGAACTCCAATTATTTATCATAAGCGGAAGTGCTCACTTTGATATCCACAGCTCATATAATAAAAACAGAACTTAATTTCATCCGTCTCCATACACCCACTTTGTCCAGAATACTATCCAAAAAGGCCAGTCATAAAACATCTTTTCTGACCAATCAGAAAAAGCCCCAACGGTTTTTGCAGCCATTTTGAAAAAAAAATATTAGTTGCTAAAAGACAAAAGAGGACCACCCACAACTACAACCAGATGGGGAAGAAACAGATCCATACCTTTCCCGTTTTTATTTATGCAAAAGTAAATGTCACAAATTTGGTTGGAATTTGAACTTAATCATCACACTACCACACATCCAAATGTTGTGGTGTCCTCCCTCTAAAGAGTCTATGTTAGACTCTTCTGCCTACTATAAGTTTAGTAGGAGAGAAGGTTCAGGGGGACAATGAACAGGAAACAGTAAATAGATAGAGCACTGGTTCATACGGTACACTCTTAGTAGTCGTGTAATACTCTTCTGGTGTACTTACTGTTTAATATACGATATATCTGCAAACCTGGTTTTTATTATTACTTAACC